GGATCACCTTACCGGTCATCTTTTAAAAAAAAAAAACATTTGGTTGTCTTAGGCGAACCTAATATATGATTTTAGGAGCTACACAATTACCCCAAAAGCAAATGGAGAAAAAAAGTGAGGTAATTGTTCAAGTGGGTTTTTAACATATGTTGACTGTACATTCCTGACAATTGCGTATTAATCATGGGGAAAGGTGCAGAGCACTCTCTGCAGGGTACATTATTTGTAAGACAAACTACTTCTTGCTAGTAATACAGATCTGGGCCGAAAGTGCTGTCAATTTTCCTCTTTGAAAAGCCCCACCTTTAAAAATGTCAGCACCAGTGCTGCCTTAACTACGGCAGACTCCCACTGTTTCCTGAGAAGAGGTGATTTTCTGAGGTTGTTTCTCAGGCATTCTAGAGTCAACCCAGGAAAGCTGGGCATGGCCCTTCAGAGGCCTCTATTGTGGTGGAAGGAACTCAGGCTCTGCCACCAGCCAGCCCGAGCTTCTGGGACCACAGTCTTTCTTCCTTCACTGTTCTCTCCAAGGCCCTTCCCCCTGCCTCAGATCTCCTTCCCCCACCTCCTGCTGTCCTACTGTTGGATCAGGTCCCCACCCCTGCAGACCTGACCTCAGGACAGGATTTGATACCACTCAGTGGAGAAGTAATTAACCAAAGAGAATTTTGCTTGTTATCTGTCTTAGGCGAATACCTGGGGGCAAAGCCACTGGGATAATCCCCTCAGTTCAGACAACAGAACATTTCAGAAAACAGATGGGCATAGCACTGCTAGCGGTATGGTAGTGAGGAAGGGCTGGGGCCTGCACTTTACTCTTTAAATCATTCTGTTTAAGTTCAGGATACCACGTGCTCAGCCCCACTCTGAGGCCTGTGGTATCATCCATGCTATCTGAATAAAGATTGTAGGTCTGATTATTTGAAATTGTGCAACCGGGTTGTCTGGTCACTATACAGGAACATGTCAAACCCCATGAGAGAGGGAGACAAAGGTCATAAACCCTCTACACTGCGGTTTGTGTGTGTCGCTCCAGAGTCCAGAAAGTGAGGAACAAGTGTCCGTTAGTAGGAAAGGAAGAAGCAGCACTGAGGGCCGTGGTCCTTGACGCTGTCTGGATATCCCCCAGGAACACCTCCTCACGGACATCTGGGAGTGCCCCCACTCAGCCGCCAGGGACGGGCTCCCGCCTGCATCCTGACTGACCACCTGCTTCAGCCAAATGGGGCCCCTCCTTGCTGTAGCTTTCGGCAGCCTGACGTAATGCTGGCACAGGAAGTCCTAATCCAGAGTGTTTTTGTTTGTTGTGCTTCCTCAGGATTTCCTTGGATCTGGAGACCCCAGAGAAACAAAGATGCTAATCACCAAACAGGCCGACTGGGCCAGAAACATCCATGAGCCCAAAGCTGCCGTGGAGATGTACGTCTCAGCAGGAGAGCACCTCAAGGCCATAGAGATCAGCGGCGACCATGGCTGGGTTGACATGTAGGTTCCAGTGCCTGCCCTAAGAAGCATCTGGCAGTGTGTCATGTCATGTTGGCTCTTGGTTTTGACTGACAAGGGAAAAAATAGTGCTTCTCTAAATATCTAAACCAAATGTAATAGCAGCTAGGTTCTTTGGGAGACACAGAGATTGAACAAGGCTGCCCTTGAAGAGTTTCTCGAGTCCCTGGGGGGAGGGGTGGTGGGAGCTGAGGAGGGAGACCTGAGCGCTCACTGTGAGCCAGCCACTACAATAACCTTGCAGGCATTTTGTTCTTGCCCCACACCCCCATGCCCATCTTGCAAATCAGGAAACTGAGGCTCAAGTGATTGCAAAAGGCCAAACAGCTGGTAAGTCACAGAGCTGATCTTCAGACTCTGATCTGGGCAATTTCAGTGCCCATAATATGTGTAATGATAGGAACAAAGAAAAGAAAAGTTCTGAGTACATCAGGGAAGGAGAATGCTCCTGGGAGGAACCATGGATGTCTTCTCTTAGGAGGTAGTGTGTACATGAAGGGGCCTGAAGAATTTCAGGAGATAGAGATGTTAGGAAGAGAAGCCCGTGCGGGCAGGAAGAGCAGCGCGAACAGAGCAGAGCGGAGCGTGTCGGTTCTGGTGGGAAGAAAACGTGTGCAGGAGTGGAAGGTGATGGATAGCTGGCTGCAGCAGGGGGACCTGGGCTGGCCTCAGGAGGGCCTAGGGGACCAGACTGAGGTTTTTAGACTTGTCAATAGGGAATGAGGACCCCCCCAGTCAGGGCTGTGCCATCAGAAGCCCCTCAGACAGCAGGGGTAGAATGAAGGAGAAACTAGACAACAGGAGCCCAGGTAGAGTTGGCCGTGTGGTAGACTGGGAGGGAGGGTGGTGGCTGAGGGTATGAGAGACATGGAGGAGCTGGGGCCTGGAAGGCTGAGCCTGAGCTCTGCATCAAGGTAGAGAACAGAGGAGATGGAGCGGGCTAGGGGAGGGCTGCACAGAGGCACGATGGATCCAGGCTCGGGACTCAGTGCATCAGATCCCCAGTGTAGGGCTTTGTCCTCCCACAGGCGGGCAGTGGGCTTCACGCTCACATGTGTGAGTGCGTCCATATGCATATGCTGCCGCAGCTGTCACAAATGAACTATGAGGGAGAGGCCTCTGAGGTTGAGTCCATTTGAGCCCTAAAGGCTGTTGGTTGTTCTGGAAGCAACATTGTGGTAGCAGTGACCCAGCCAGGACCTGGTCACCCCCTTGAGCCCCATCATGTGATTGGTGTGTGGGCCCCTCACAAAGGGACCTTGGTGGGTAACCTATCACCCCATCCTTCTCTTATGCAAAACTAAAATTTCTTGAAGTAGAGGAATAGATTTTGCCCCCAAAATTATTCTTATCATGAAAGGGGTGGTACGGAAGAGAGCCAGGCAGATTTAGGGCCTCATGCTCTCCTCTGGTTTTTCATGTCACTTCATTTGTAAGTGCAATGTATCAAGTTACCCTGGGGATACTTAACTAGTTCAGGTAAGAGACAGTAAGCCTGTTCTGCCTCTTTTCCAGGTCTGGCTGTAAAAGGTGCCTCTTCTCCAGGGATATTGAGTTTGATGGTGGGGGGGCTGCCTGTGCCACCTTTCCCTAAAAATGCGTCCTTTCTCTGCTGAGCAGTGTTATTTTTAGATGCCATTATTATTCTCGGTGCAGACTGACAGGCCTCCCTGTGCTTGCCCGTCTCTAAGACGGGACCTGTTACAGCTGCTTCCCTTCCCTTCTCACAAAGAGCAGGCTGGGTGGAGCCCCTCCCCTGAGAGAACTAGTTTTACTCCAAACCCCAGCCTGACCAGAGGGAACCAGCATGTTCTGTCCCACCTCCATGTCCCCACAGCAGTAGGAGGGCCGGTCACCACTGGGAAGAAGTGGTGAGCCAGCTCGTCCCTGCAGCCTCTCACTGTGGTCAGCACCTTGGCCAGGAGGAGGGTACAGTCAAGACTGCCTGCAGGCCGTTCTTCCAGAGCTTAGAACAGGCCCCACACATGCCTCTTCCTCTAGAAGCAGTCACTGAATAATTCTGATGCCATGGCCTCTGCCTGCCTGTGGGAACTTCTGAAATGGCGGTAGAAAAAGCACTCCGCCACTTCCTGGCTGTGCAATCTGGACAGGGTGCTTTACCTTTCACCCTGGACTTTAGTCTTCTCACCTGTAAAATGGGAATAATAGGACCCACCTCTTAAGGTGGGGAAGATTCAGTGAGATCATTCATGGGAAAGCTCATGTTGTTGTCTTGGTGCCTGGTAGGGGATCAGTAGACAGCTCTTTCTATCCCCAGATCCTGCTGCATAGATCAGCAGCTCCTGTGAAAGGCACATGAAGCAGCAGACAGTATCCTTTAGAGGAGGCCTCTCCTGGGCCCTGGAGAGGGTTCTGGAGTATGTATTCACTCATTCAGTAACCATCCATCAAGCCCCTGGGGGGGGCATGGCACTGCATTAGCATTGGGGACAGCAAATGAATGGACACAGAGCCTGCCCTTGAGATGATCTGAAGCCCCCCTGCCACTTCCTTCCATCAGGCTCCTTCACAGGGTCCCTCTCCTCTCCACTATTCCCTTCTCTCCAGGTTGATTGAAATCGCCCGTAAGCTGGACAAGGCTGAGCGCAAGCCCCTGCTGATGTGTGCTCACTACTTCAAGAAGCTGGATAACCCTGGCTATGCTGCCGAGACCTACTTGAAGATTGGTGATCTGAAGTCCTTGGTGCAGCTGCACGTGGAGACCCAGCGCTGGGATGAGGTGAGGGGAGAGTTGGGGGTTGGGGCCCCACCTGAGCCCTGGGCCATGGGCAGATGGGTACAGGAGACCTTTGAGGTTTGGATAAAGAGAAGCTGCCCTCATAATGGAATGAACATTGGCCCAGCAATCAGGAGATTTAACCTTGAATTCTCTGAGCCAGAGCGTCTTGCACGGCCTTTCCGTACTAGCTTCCCATCTGTTCATTCATTCATTGAGAAAAACTTTACTGACTGCCAGTTCTGTGCCAGCCCTGTGATAGGCACCAGGATGTGAGTGTTAACACGACAGCTTCAGCGCTGGCTGTTGGTCTGAGCTGCCTCTGACCAGCACTACAGGCTCAGGCGCAACTCTGATGTGGAAACTCTGCACCTGTGTGACATTTAAAACCTACTGGCAGAAAATGCCAGCCATACTTTCCAGATACAGGCTGCCAGAGCCATTTCAGGGGCCAGCTCTTCCTCTGCCTCTGGTGTGAGGGTGGGTAAGGAGAATTAGCTAGACCAGTGAAAAAGAGGGCCCCCCTAAGTGAGGCTGGTGGAAGCAGCAGTGTGGCCCTCTCTGTGGCTTGGCTCCTGCCCTGCCACTCACTGGCTGACTGTGCCCTGGAGAGAAACCCATCCCCACGGGGATCAGAGGCTGTGCCCCGGGTCCTCTCTGCCCCCTGTCCCCCCATGGTCTATTTTACAGCAAGACCTGCTCTGGGTAAGAGCCGTCTGACTCTTGTCTGCCCTCTGAGTGGCTGCATTTGGTGAGGCGATGAGTTTGCTGATGAGAAAAGGTGGGGCCAGGGACAAAGGCAATAATGGCTTCTCAAGATAAATTTCTCAGGAGATTTCTCAAACAGCACAAACTGGAGCTTTTGAGAACCACTCGGTCCTGGCTGTGCGTCAGGCAAACTTTCTCCCCGTGGCTTGTTTCCGGTTCTCCTGGCCCGATAGGTGGTTCTGGTTCTTAGGTGAAGCAGTCACTGGATCCCATTCAGCACCAAGTCCACAGTCATTTTTGACAGCTAATAAGGAGTGATGATTATAATGTCAATTCTGTTTCCTTAGGTGTCGCCTGCAATTAAAAGAAATCTGTTTGCAGCGCTACAGGAGCCCACGCAAACTCTCAAAATAAAATGTTTCCGATTCTGTGCCGCTTCTGTGGTCCAGAAACAGACTGTGTTGTTATTGAATCCAGTCGCTTGCATATTGCTGTTAATTGCCTTTTGTTTTCAAAGAGCTGATTTGTTTTTGTGTGTCTGGGGGTGGTTGTGGGGGAGGGACTCTCCCCCTCTGAGTTGTCAGGCTGGCAAGATGTGACATCCCTAATGGATTCAGCCAAGTGCCATGTTTTCATGGGGGCTGAAGGGGCTGCTTTATTAAGAGTGCATTTGCTCCTTCCTCCAGGCCTTTGCTTTGGGTGAGAAGCATCCCGAGTTTAAGGATGACATCTACGTGCCCTATGCTCAGTGGCTAGCAGAGAATGATCGCTTTGAAGAAGCCCAGAAAGGTAGGCCACACAGAATGGTACCTTGCAGAAGTGACACACATTCCAGGAAGGCTGCCAGGCCTTCCTATCTGTAGGACCCAATAAGGTGACTTCACCCTGGGGATGTGATGTGTTTGGTTGGAAAGACTGGAGCAGTGGAAAGAACGTGGACTTTGGGGCCACGCACCCCTGGCCCATCACTCGCCTGCCACAGGACCTTCTGAGGTCCTCTCTCCGAGCCTCTGTGGTTACTGAGAAAAGTGATGTGCATGCCAGTGTGGCTTTCCATTTAATCTTCACACCAGCCCTATGGTGTGGGTACCATTATTATTATTCCCATTTTGCAGGTGAGAAAACTAACGGTTAAAGAGATAAAGTGATTTTCCTGAAGTCCTATAGCTAGGAAGTGGCAGAAAGGTAATTGGAGCCAAGGTGCAGTGAGGACAAAAAGAGAGGACTGCCACTGAGTGTGTGGTGTAGTCTCACCTCCACCTTCCTCTATTGGAAATAGAAACTCAGGTTCTGTTTCTGGACAAACAGGGTGACCTCGGCTCCTCGGCATTTTTCTTGGTAAAATGGGCTGCCCGTGAGGTATGGCTGCATCTGAAATAGGAGCCAGAGCAGGTACAAAGCCTTAACTGATAATGTCCATCATGATTAAGAAATTGACGGCCCTCTCTATGTCAGGCACTGGCTGGGCACTTAACCTACATAACCTTGAATCTTACCAGCAGCCGTGCAGAGGTGCAGAGACTGAATGTGCCCTGCAAAGTCACAAAGCAGACGAGTGGCAGAGCCGGCACGGGACCAGGATCTGTCTGCCTGGGGAGCTGGATCCTTCTGTGTTTTGCTACCTATTTAGGAAGTTTCTCATTGAGCGGGGTGTGTCCCATTCCATAACATCTCATCTACACTTCTATATGGTAACAGTTGCCACCTCTGGACACATTGCCAAACACGTCTCCCTGTTGGAGCTCCTCAGCTAAAAGCCCCCATTGAAGGACAGCCTGTTCTTTGCTGCTTCAGCATCTCCAGAGCACCCAGTTGCTGAAGTATCTGCATGTTTGGGCAAAACACATCAACCTATCCATCTGTCTGTGTCTGCCCTTCCAAGAATCCATCACCATAGTAACTTGGTACTCAGAAAAGAGATTGGAGATGAGAATGGAACAACGGCCAGACCTTTTCCTTCACTAAAGGCAGAGGATTTGGATCGTCTGATTACCCACATGTGGGCAAGGGTCACAGCTAGAAGTGCTTCACTGGCAGCCCCCCACATCCCAAGAGACAGGCTGTATAGTAGGTATTCAGGAAATTTCAGGGAAAAAGATGTAGGAATGATTGAGAGAATTTTTGCTTGTTTTCACAAATGTTTGGTTCAAGAACAGAGCTAGATCTCTCAAGGTTGTCATCAAAAAGCACTCAGTTGAAGACCAACTTAGGACTTGGGTTGGGCTCAGGTCTGTGACCTTGGGTACGCCTCTTTACCTCCATCTTGCAAAGCCCATTTCATTGCTCATTTTAAAAAGGATAATATTTCCTTCATAAGTCTGTTGTGATGATCCAGTGAGGTAATTAGCAATGAAAGCACTTGTAACTGCCAAGCCTCTTAAAGTGTCAGGTCCTGTAAGTATCACCTCGGGAGTCACAAAGCTTTGCCTTGGAATGGAGCCAGGGCAAAACCTCACTGAAGATGAGCAAGTTTCATCCTCAGACTTTGCCCTGGAATTTGGCCCCTCCAGTTTTTCTTTCTGCTATGCCTTTCCAAAATCAGTTGCCTTTATCCAGCCAAAAAGGAGTATATCTCACTATACTTTTTTCAGGATGTAGCCTTGATTATTTATAGCCTCCGGCCTGAGAGGCGGCATCCCAGCAACGAAGCACTGCACATGCTCCAATGAGTGTCCTACTTCCAAAGCAGCCCCTTGCAAGCCCCTCAGAATTCCATCCTAGGGCCAGCCCATGGCTCACTTGGGAGAGAGTGTGGTGCTGATAAGACCAAGGCCAAGGGTTCGGATCCCTACATAGGGATGGCTGGTTAGCTCAGTCAGTTAGAGCGTGGTGCTGACAACACCAAGTCAAGGGTTAAGATCCCCTTACCGCTCATCTTTTAAAAAAAAAAAAAAAATTCCGTCCTACTTCTTCTTCTGCCTCCCCAAATTGCGTGTGCTTTTGTGCCCCTGCAGCATTCCACAAGGCCGGGCGGCAGGGGGAAGCAGTCAGGGTGCTGGAGCAGCTCACACACAACGCCGTGGTGGAGAGCAGATTTAACGATGCCGCTTATTATTACTGGATGCTGTCCATGCAGTGCCTTGATATAGCTCAAGGTAGGTAAACATCAACCAGGCTGCTGTTTTCCCCTGCTCTGCTCTGGCACCAAGATAAGCATCGAAAGAGCTGGGACGTTTTAATTAAAGCCCTGGGCTTGTTTATTGGGTGTATTGTCCATAAGCCTGTCTTGCAGTGGCATAATCTGGTGCGTCATCTTTTTCCAGTTTGCCCATAAGTAAGGACGGTATGAGGGCTGTCCTGAGGTTATGGTTGGGAGGTCCTGTCCTGCATTGCTAATTCAGAACTTATCTCTCCCCTCCTACACAGGAGCCCATAGCTGGACCTGTGTGAACACTAGTTTTAAAATTTTTTATCGGGCCGGCCCGTGGCTCACTCTGTAGAGTGCAGTGCTGATAACACCAAGGCCACGGGTTCGGATCCCATATACGGATGGCCGGTTCGCTCACTGGCTGAGCGTGGTGCTGACAACACCAAGTCAAGGGTTGAGATCCCCTTACCGGTCATCTTTAAAAAATAAATAAATAAATAAATAAATAAATAAAATTTTTTATCACATGAAAAGATGAATGAGAGATTGCTTTATAACAACACACTCCAGATTCTCACTCATCCCAGGCAGGAAAGCAGTTTCATGTTACTTTTTTTCACAAGACTTCTCATGATGCTCTGAGGGAGCTCTGGAAGCAGAGGGGACAGGAAGGTGTTGTTCTCCACTGGACAAGGCCAGTGGGAAAAATGCTGCAGTGGAGGCCGCAAGGTGACTTGTAGCAAGTCATAATTCCTTCCTGAGCTCTGTCTGCCCATCTGTACCCTGGGACCGCCCCTGTCCCTCCTCCTTCTAAGGTTGCAGGGAGCCTCTCTCAAAGCCGTGCTTATAGATTGAAATCCATCAAGCCCAGGCGTGAGGTGACATTTTTCTGTTCTGGCCAGTGGTTTGTGCTTCTGATAAAGAGTATCCCAGAGGCGTGCATGAGCATGAATAAAGCTTACGTCTGCCCACCCTCGTCCTGCCAAGCTCCCCCTGCTTGTCTGGGTGCCAGCCATCACCCTCTTCTTGCCACAGCTAGTGCTCCCCGAGTGGAATGACATGGAGGGTATAGCGTGAGATCTGCAAGAGCCTGAGAAAAACGTCTTCAGACTTCCTGGCTGTGTGCTCTGAGCAGCCAAGCCTTCCCTGCCTGTGGCGACCCTGCTTCCAGGCAGAGTACCTTTCCTACCACTGCACCTCTCGGTCCCTTCCCCCAGTGCAGGCCCCGTGTTGCCTAAGAACGGATGCTGGCAGTAGCGCCAACACCTGGCCCTTCCTCCTGTGGCCAGTCAGCAGTCCCACACCATCTGACATGTCTTCCCCTCCTCCTCCCACCCCCACTGCACCCAGCAGACCCTGCCCAGAAGGATGCGATGCTTTGCAAGTTCCACCACTTCCAGCACTTGGCTGAGCTGTACCATGGCTACCACATCATCCACCGGTACACGGTAAGGTGGCCAGGACACGGGCAGCTGAGGGGCACCGCCTGCTGAGCTGGGGCCCTGGGCAGTAGGCTTTGAGTGGAGAAAGTAACCCAGTGGGCCTGATGAGCTGCTGAGGACCCTAGTCTCCACTGTCCTTGGTCAGCTACTTGTTTGACATGCAGCACGCCATGGGCCTCTGAGTTACAATTCAGAGCTGGAATGGGCCTTTCCAGTTGCTTGGTTCAGACTTTGATGACTCAGGCAACCTCTGGATTAGCCGAACAAGGGCAGTCTCTCCAAAATGACCAGGGGGTGGGAGTTCTGTAGGGCCCTCTCCTCTAGACAGGTGAAGGCCCACATTAACCAAAGGCTCGAGTTCCCCTTCTGGCCCTGCCACGGACTTGCTGTGTGTCCTTGAGGAATTCACTCTCGCTCTCTGGCCCTCAGTTTTCCTCTCTACACACAAGAGGATTGGCTTGATCTCCAGAGGTGCAAATAGTTCTTTTTAGTCACCCCCTGGTTATTTTGATGAAACCATTTTAAATCTATCTCCTGGATAGGGGGAACAGGTGACAGGTTTTCAACAGCTTCCTCATTCCATGTATCTCCTCAATCACTCAACAACTGTTGATTAAGCTCTCACAATGGGAGCTTATCCTGTGCTGATAAGCTGGGGAGATGTCAATAGTCAGCTTCCATAGAGCAGCATCACATATTGTAGTTGCGTTGTGTCAACTCATTTCACCCTTTTAACCACACTGTGAGATAAGTACTATCATCCCCCTTTGACAGTTGGGGAGACTGAGGCACTGGACAGAGAGGTCCCATAGCTAGGAAGTAGCAGAGTCAGTGTTTGAATCCCTTCAAGCTGACTCCGGAACCATGCTCTTAGCCTCGTCCTCCCTCTCCCCTCTAACTTGGAGAAGGCAGGCTGGTATATTGGTTTAGGAGGTGAAATCTGGAGGCCTCACCCCCAGCTGTACTGTGTGGCATTGGGTGGGTCGTTCACCTTTTCCATGCTTCAGCTCCCTTTTCTATAAAACAGAGATAATAACAGTACCTATTTGATGGGACTGTTGTAAAGATTAAATGAGTTAATATTGGAAAAGCACTTGGAAGAGTGCCTGGCAGAGTGACCCTGGGTAAGTGTGTCACCTGTTCTTAGTACTGCCCCAGGCAGAGGCTTCACATCAGCTTCCCGCAGCCCTGCTCTCCAGGCTGGGTACCTCGTGGTTCTCTAGACTCCCAAATGCCCTGCCTTCCACCCTGGGCACTCCTCTCCCCCTAATCTCTGCTGACCTCTCAGCACATCCTTTTCCTCTTGGGAAAGTCTGTCAAGAAGGACTCTGACAGGCTCTGCCTGGGCCGGTATCGGTCCTGTCTCATCTCTTCCCATAGCATGAAGGTCTCAAGGGACCTCATCTTCCCTCACAGTCTTTGCTTTCCCTGAGATGAGACCCACCCTCAGGGTCCCCTCATCTCCATCAGGTGCTCACCTGGAGAGGAGCCACCTAAAACAGGAGCTCCAAACCCACCTCGGCTCGGCAGTCAGGCCCGGCTCGGTCGGGTCTGCCTCGGCACTTGGGAGCCGGCTCTCAGCTGCTTGCCCCTGCCCTCCCTCCCCACTCCTCACCATTCTCTCCACCTGGCTTGGGGTCTGGGCTCCTCTGACAGCTCAGTGCTCAGCTCTGCTCCAGGACCTCCCTGGGGCTGGGAGTGAGGGGTTTCACCCCAGCTGGGGGCCCTGACTGTGAGTCCAGCCGAGGCTTCTTCGTGGGGCCTCTCCTTCATTCAACAAATGCCTGCTGCGTGACAGGCCCTGTGAGGAAGCCTCAGGACACAGTGTGAACAAGACATTGTCCCTGACCTGAAGAAGCCCACAGTCTAGTAAACAGGACAGTCCCTCAAGGGCAAAGCGTAGAGGCTGAGGAGACTTTCTGGAGGAGGTGGCCCCTAAGGCAAGAGGAGGGAGACAAGTGAGAATGGGGCAGGTGAGGAGGAGGAGGAAGAAGAGCACTCCTGGCAGAGGTCACAGCCCGAGCAGAGGCCTGGAAGTGAGTGGGAGTCTCAGAGTCTGGCACCAGGGCCCGGCAGAGGAGCACTGATTCAGAGCAGGCTGGAAGACTGGAAAGGGAAGCGTTGGAGCCTTCCTGAGATACGTGGCTTCTTTCCCAGAGAAGAGGTGTTAATCCTGAGGACCACACCCCGCCACACACACACCCTGGGACATTTCTTAGCTTCCACACCTAGTGCAGCAGAACCAGAGGTAGGCAGCGTCCTGGTGCTCACCCAGAAAAGGACGCATTTTCAGGGTTCTTGGGTTCTTGAAGCTAACAGGCTATAGAAATTGAAGTGGGACCTAAAGAGAAATGCTGAGCTCTGACCTGGAGGGGTGCAGAGCAGAGCGAGTCTTCAGGACTTTAGGCTGATCAGAGGCTGAGCGCTGGTGGCTCAGTGATGAGCGGGGGCCTACCTACACCCTTCAGGAAATGTCCATTTGTTACTGTTTAAATGCTTGCGGGGGGTGGAGCTGGCCAGCTGTAATCCTCATCATCTAAAGCTTTATTAGAAATCGGTAGGCTCAGTGTGCACACAGTATGCCAGATTCCTTCAAAACTGGGTATTCTTAACCTTTTATGGACCCCCTCCTGATGGAAAATTCCCTGTGGTCTGCTGTGGTGAGCTTCTGGCAGCCTCTAAGTACAGGAGACCTGTTCATTCCCCTGATGTGTGCTGAGTGCCTCCTGTTAGGCCCTGTGCCGGGTGCTGGGGAAACGGGGATCAGCAGCTGAGGAACCCCACATGTGCACGTTTGGTGGTGCACTCAGCTGAGTGGTGCACTGGTCGGTCAGGCTTGGTGGTGCACTGGTTTGGTGGTGCACTGGTCAGGCTGCTGTTGTAGAGCAAAGACGAGGCATGCGATTTATGCTGGAAAGCGTTAAATACCTCCTCTTAAAGGTGTGTATACATCAGTGGTCATGTCCTAAATTGCACAAAAGGTCTGTTTTAGAGCTAATTGGAGACAACTTGAGCTCAGAGAAATGCAATCATTACCAACCCCAGACTCATTACAGCTTGGGAGAAAGACACTCTTGGGCTTCGGGACCAGACCTGGGTTTGAATCCCAGTGCTGCTCTGTTCTAGCCAGTGACTTGGTTAAATCATCTCTCTGGATGTCGGTTTTCTCATCAGTACAATGCGGATAAAAATGCACACTTCACAAGATTGTGTTAAAGACCAGATGAGACAGTGGCTGCACAGCCCCCAGCACATAGTAGGTACTTAATAAGCAGAGCCAGCTCTTCTGTTGAAGTAGTAGCTCAGAATCATTAGCATCTGCCTTTCGGCCTGGCCCAGCAGCGGCATGGTTGAGGAATTCAGTCCCTGTTTGTTTTCTTTTGCTGCAGGAGGAGCCATTCAGTTTTCATCTTCCAGAAACCGTTTTCAACATCTCCAGATTCCTGTTGCACAGCCTGACCAAGGACACCCCCTTGGGCATCTCTAAAGTGTATCCTTTCTCTCACTCCCACCCTCTGTCCCACCCATCTTGTCTAATGGCCCCCAGAAGTTCTTCCCAGAGCACTTTCCTGGCAGTACCTTCCCTCCCTCCAGCAGCCCTCAGGGAAGAGAGAGAGCTCCTGCTGCTGTTTTGCTGTAGAAGAGGCTCAGCCAGGGCTCGGCCAGTGCCAAAAGATTAGTCTTCAGGGCTCTCTAGACTGAGCCCAGGAGCAGGTCTTGGCTAAGACACTGTCCCAAGCCTGCTTAAACCCACAGTGAGGGTGTGACTGAAACGGGGGAAGCACGGGGCCTTGGGGCCTGGAATCTTGAGCAGTTCTCTGGGGTGGGGGCATTTGTTCAGCCCAGGTGTGTGGAGCCCCTGTTGTGCCCCAGGCACCACTGCTAAGTCTGGGGCCCTGGTAACGGAGGGCTGCCTGGAGGAGGTGACATCTGTCCTGCAAGCTGAGGCAGTCAGGGAAAAGTTGGTACAGGGGATGTTCCAGAAGAGCATAAGGCACGCGGAAAGGCACCGAGGCGACGCCGAGTGCACTGTGGGGAGGATAGGGCTGGACAGGCAGTGGGACACTGGAGGCCTGCGGGCATCCCTGGGAGTTTGCCTCTCCTCCTCTGGACAATGAGGGCACTAAGGGGCTGTGAACAGAGAAGGGGCCCGAAGAGCCTGGGTAGCCAGAAACTACCAGGAAATGACCAAAATCTTTAAAGTCTGAAAGTCAAAAGCCATAATTGTCCCGTCCTCTTTTTTTTTTTTTTAAAGATGACCGGTAAGGGGATCTTAACCCTTGACTTGGTGTTGTTAGCTCCACACTCACCCAGTGAGCTAACCAGCCATCCCTATATGGGATCCGAACCCACGGCCTTGGTGTTATCAGCACCACACTCTCCCAAGTGAGCCACGGGCTGCCCCCCCTGTCCTCTTCTAAACCTCACTGTTCTCTCAGCCCCTTCCCAACCCCAGTCCTGCCTTCTTTCTCTGAGGGAACCCCCCCCCCAGGAGAGGACCCAGAGGTGTTCATTGGTGTGATTGGGCCTCTACAGGGTGCCAAGCCCATTACTTACACTGCAGGGGAAACCCCCAAATCAAGAGGAACCTTCACTGCTCAGACCCCTGCTGACTGGCCGGTCAGTCTCGCCCCAGAGGAATGGTCACAGCCACGCCTGTCAGGGCCTTGGCACCCGCAACCAACGTTTCCAGCAAGTTCTGTTCAAGTCAGCAGAGTTTGATTAAAGCCGTGCCCCGGGGCCGGCCCGGTGGCGCACTGGATAGTGCGCCGCTTGGGAAGCACGGCGGCGCTCCCGCCCGAGGGTTCGGATCCCACATACAG